ATAAAATATTTACTGCACAATCAAAGGCAGTCCAGTGGCATGCAGAATGGTGTGTGGGTTCATGTGATTGCTAAGAGTTGCTGTGGCCATACAGTTAATGGAGTTTGTGTTCTGTTAATTCATGTTTTTACACTTGGCAGCTGAATGAAGCACCAGTGTCAAAGATTGTTAGCAACCTTTTTCCCTCCTCTCACTGGCAACTGAGGCCTGATCAACATACTAGACAGACCTGAACACTGAACACATAAATAAAATCTAATATCTCCTCTAAAGAATGGAACCACTTTAGCAGGGTCTGTCTGGAAATTTGATTAGCTACATTAGATGCAGATGTCTGATGCACAGTATGCAATGAATAGGCATATGACTTTAAAACGGGTGTGATGATTTTGTAGCCACCTTTACAATATTTGAGTATGTGAGATAATCTTAGTCTAACATATCTCTGTCTTCATCATGACCTGCTGTTAAGTATGTGTCAAGACTACCACTAAGGACACCAGAGTGTTGCTATGCACCTACATCTCTGCTGAACAATTATCTCAAACGTTAATACTTCCACCACAGGACTGGTAATTATAAGTCCAGCACATGTAAGACATGCTCTTTGCTAACACGCACATATGCTCAGTTGCCAGTGAGGTACACTTAAGTAAAACTTAGTCTAATGCAACAACGCTGCAAGAGATTCGATTTCTATTAATGCTCAGTTTTTGTTTTGTTTTTTCGCTCAAACTTTTGGCGTTGCTTTCACTGTGTGGTCATTTAGGAGGCTAGTTTACACTACCGTTTGCTGGTTTTGCTGTGAAGTGAATTACGTTATGATTCATGAAGGTAGAATTAGTTGCACGGCTGTTATTAGAGCTGTATTAGACTGGCATTAGAGTGTACAGAGTGAGTCCTAGCAATTACCTGCTTACCACAGAACATAACCACAACACTGCAGCAAATGCAGTAAAATCACAGTAACTACTACCAACAAATAGCTCAGCACACTTGGCTGACCTGATAACTTCAAACTGTGCTGCATGGCTGGTCAGTGGATTTGAAAGCCAACGTCAAACGGCAATATTAGTCTTAATCTGAATGATATGGGTGTTTACATGTACAGACAGTGTTGAGGCCTTTACCTTGTCCATCAGACGCTGACAGGGCAGGTGAATTCAGCTTCGGCCGCTTAGAGTTGGGAGGTCCGACGTCCAGCAGGTTTTCAGCCATAGTTGTTATCTTGTCCGGCTGGTTGCTTAAGATGATAATTATGATTACCTTATGACAGGGAAGTTGTTCTATCAATCCGAACCTTCCCGGTTAGCACATTAGCAAGCTGGCAGCTTGCTAACGTTAACTAACTGGCTAATAGCTAGCTAATTGCCTGCTACCAGCTAAGTTAACTGTTAGCGTTAGCTACTCCTTGCTGCGAGAGTCAGTGTCTTTCAAAAGAGATGCAATAGCGCCCCGCTTCGCCACCGCCATTCACCCCATGATAATCCAACACCCAACACCCACATTATTATCGTTAAATAACCCAGAATAAAATATTCCCCATGTAAAAATCGAACTTCAAAATGACAATCCGATAAAATCAGGCTGATTGCTGCATTCCGGGGCAAAAGTCGCAATTTCTAGATGTTCAAAGTACCCATTTTGCGTGACGTCAAATTTCTTCATGCAAAAATCGCGCGAAGCTCCACAAAAATGCACAATTGCATAAAAATGCTGTATTTTTGCAAATCACTTCGAAAGTCACGATCTGCTCTCCGCTTGCCCACGGTAAACAATACTGCTCCCGAACGGCGACAGGGGCTGAATCGCCGCACTCTGAAGGGGAAATCAGATATACGGAGCTTTTCTGCCCGACGACCACCGATCCAATTCCCGTTTTTTCTCACAAAATGTCTCCGAGGCGGTGTTAAGACTTCGTTTTCGGGGGAAGGACGCTTTCATATCGCGGTAAGGATGCTCGATTTCTACGTAAAAACCAGTGTTGGACCGAAATCCTAATTCCGAGCCACGACAAGATGGCGGCTGTTGATTCCTTCGATACAAAAAAGTTTTTTTTTCTTTTCCAGATCGGCTGTGGAGGGGGAGGGGCCGCGCAATCACGCCCTACGTGAAAACACCGCTCATCTTAACCGCTGGGGGCGCTACAGCACCGCCAGAGGTACATACAAGTCAGTTAATACATTTTCAGAAATTAATTACTCCATGAACATTGTGTAAATTACATATAAATATTTTTAAATTAATTTCAATGTTAACTTTTTAAATGTTAAATTAAAATTAATTATAATTTTATATAACTATAAAAATCTGCATTTACATTATGGATCAATGTTGCACTGTATTTTATGTAGTAAATAGTAAAATTATTGTTAAATTATATATAACATTAGATATTACATTCAATACAGCTATGGCTCACTTTAAAAGTAGATAACGGTAGTAGGATAACTTTTTAATTTAAAAAGAAGAAGGGTTTACCTAGACTCACATCACACCTCCTTAAATTGAAGTAAAAATTATCATATTTTTAAAATAATATTATGATTTTCTGTATCACAAATTTAAAGCTGAGTATGTCAGAGCTTGTCAGTCCTCCGTGCAGATGTGTACAGCTACAACAAAAATAGAGTCAGTTGGTGGCCATATAGTTCACTGATTTTCTTTTGGATCACATTTTACTGATCTGTGTTATTTTTAGATGTCTACTCTTATCTTTCTTTTACTCTGCTGCTAGAAGTGAATGACTATAGATGTGCAAAGCAAATCATACACTTACGTAGGTTCTGGTAGTGAATATTTAGTGAAATAAACTGTTGATACACACTGTATAAGTCACATTTCAGTCATTAGCTTGCGGACCAAAGACCTCCACCCTCCTGACAGTACTGGAACCATTTGGATATTGGTAAGCCAACCCAACATTGGGCTAAATTGCAATGTGCATATATCCTGGTTTCAGTCCACCCCTCTGATTAAACAAAAAAGGCAATGGCAATTCAATCTGATTATCAAGCTAATGGTTTGACATAAACCTGTCCTCACTTCATACTTCACAGTGCACTCAACTATTTTCTGCTTTGAGATTTATTTCCCTCATACTGAAAAAAAGAATAATAAAATCCATTACACTCACACTTACTCAAATAGACACACATTGAATCAATTTGATAATATGTGTCTCTTTTCATTGTTTTCTGGCAAAATCTGACACATGCACATGTATAAAAAAAATCATATGTGACATAAAATAACTGCATATGTACAAACACTGAGTGCTTTGTGCAAATGTGTACAGATTACGATCATGTGTTGATAAATGATACATGGGTAATGTGCACAAAACATACATAATACATCTCATTCATAAACATAAAACAAATACCTACACAAAGATTTAAAATCAAACAACTCTGTCTATTTTTTGTCCCAGTGTAATTAAAAACACATATGGGTTGAATTTACTAGAAAATTTATAATGAAAACATGTGGAGCTGTCACCATTTAAATGAGTGATTAGGCAATGCTATTTTGCTGTGATGCTTTTAACAAGTGCTAATAAAACACTTTTTGCCTCTTCCTTATTTTTCTGTCACTGAGCAGAATCACACTTCGTCAACAAAATGGAATGACTGAATGCCTAAAACTTTTCCTCAGCTGTATTCTTGATTGCATTTTTTTGATTGGCGCGCTGGACTTGTAGGGACACTTCTTTCCCTCTGCCAGAACTAAGAGAAACCTTATCACACACACATCTGTCAATACACTGCCAGAGAGGGATGAAATCCAAACAACTACATAAATGAGCAAAGCTTGGTGATTTGAGGAATCCTGCGTGTTGGCAATACATGCTTAATGTTCAACATAAGTGTAGAAAGAATGATACTGAAATGAAATTAAAGGAGGAGAGTATAGTGGAGAACCAAACTAAAATGTAGTGTAAAAGAAGAAAACCATTCATTCATTCCCATGCAAACAAGATCACGTTCACTTCTCCCCCAACTGTATCACAGATCACAGAGCCAGCAGTGTTCACTTTAATATTTTATTTATACGTGTACAGATGTGCGCTATTGGAGAGGTGGTGTGCCCATCAACCTGTGGAGTCCCACACCTCCTATTGATGGTTTCAGATATGAATAGCCACAGTGACAATGGCGTGTGGGCTAAAAAAAACAACCTCCCTTCATAATTGATACCTGATAGTCTCATTTGTTTCCATAACTTTCTGTGCTATGGTTTATTAGGTTTGGCAAACACGAGTATTGACAATGAGAATTGCAAGAGTACAAGGAGAGGTGCTTGTTAGAAAATATTCTAAAAGCAATGAAAAAGATTTTGGCCAACAAAGCAGATCTCATGTCGTTTTTTACTAAAACAGCTCCTCAAGAAACTTCTTTGGATTTTCAGGGTATTTATGCTACGCTACGGTTATCACGATTATTTGATACAAATAATCACAGCTCACATATTCCTAATTTAAAAGGCACTGGTTGTGTATGTTTGGAAATTCTTTTTATGCTACAGATGTAGACAGCTACATAAATAGAGATGGTTCTTCTTTTTTCATGCCATCTGTGTATCTATGTGTGGCCGTAGTTTCTCAAGGCAAGATTCTTTAGCCCAAATGTTGACCTGACATTAAAAGATGTGGTGGGGATATGTGTTTGCAGGATCATTATACATTTATATATTTTCTTTTCTCTCTTTCAAAGAATGCAGCTTTGTGCATGAAATTAGTCTTCAGATAAGGCAGTGACAGAAAAATCACAGTTAAACAGTGGCCATGTGGTGGACTGATTTCCTGATCATATAAGAGCAATGTCTTCTGTGTTATTGGCTTGGAACTTAAATACCGCTCACACACGCGCACACACACACACGCACACCCACACACACACACACACACGCACACCCACACACACACACACACACGCACACCCACACACACACACACACACGCACACCCACACACACACACACACACGCACACCCACACACACACACACACACGCACACCCACACACACACACACACACAAAGTACAAGGGGGAAACAAGTGCTTTCAGGAGTAAAGAAAAGAAGCATGAAGTGACTAAAGAGCAAAGAGAACTAAAGAGGTGCCAGGTATTCAATGGGAACACCACCACATTATTCCAGGCGGCCAGTTAATGACAGGATGAGAAAAATGGAAAAGAGCAAAAAAAAAAAAATAGATGGAATTTGTCAAAAAAAAAAATGCAGCAAAACCTGCACAACGACCATAATTTTGTCAAACATACAATCATAATCTATCCTCATTATGACAACAGCATGATAAAAAAACTTTCTGAAAACCAAAGTACTCAAAAAAATACAGTCATACTTTTAGGCACCACAAAAACAATCAGCTAGTTTAGGTTGCACTGCACCTATAGATCACTCAATTAAAGTGGCACAATTTAAGTATATTGATACAGTAGAGGCTCCCCTCAGTGAAGAGGCCGTGACAGGATCAAAGTTAAAAGTCCCACCCCTTCAACAGCAAAATCACACAGCTAAAGGCAGACAATACTGAACTATTGAATAAATCTAGTGATGGACTGACCAATATTTTGTTTTTTTTTTTATTCTAGCAAATGAAGGCAACAAATGGAAAGCTTTCCACACAGTACTGTAGAAATGGTATATGATCTGTGCTTTTGCTTTAACCAACAGCAATGTGGACCACCCTATCATTTATCAAGAACTACACAGTGATTGTCCCTCACAGTCCCACTTCAAGTGCTACTCCATCCAAAAACTTTTGGGTATCAAACTCTCACCCCAGTGTAGGTTTTAAAGGATAAGTCTGGTGATATTCTGCATTTTTATCTCTTGAAAAGAACTAAATTAACAATGAATTGTTCCTACTTACAAGTATTGTCTAAGTATCCAAACCCTGATATATCTTGTTTCTGTGCCACAGAGCTGCATTGTTGTCCACTGTCAGACTGGGTGACATGTTCCCTCATAGAACAAACATGGACTCTGTTGTTTATTTTAAGTTAATCCCACCTACACTGTCCTGTTGCCCTAAATACTCAATTCTGCACCAAACTGCCACTGAAAACAGTCCCCAACAAATACACTATTTACTGTCCTGGTGGCCTATGTGTTAAGGTGGTGCTGACCACAACATCCCCAGTTCATGTATGACCGGGGACCCTTTTCCATGTCATTCCCCATCTCTCTCTCTCTCTCTCTCTCTCTCTCTCTCTCTCTCTCTCTCCTTATTTATTACCTGTCATCACTTTATCGTCTGCTATAATAATAATTAAAAAAAAAAGTATATAATGCCCCCCAAAAATACTCAAATTTGGGCAGAGAGCCATAGACAGGGGAGGAAAGTCAGAGAGTAATGAGAGATGCGTTTATACACATATTTGTTTTGGTCTTCATGGTATTTTTTGGCAACAACAAAAATATAGTTACTGTCAGCCTGAACCCATAAGGGTGGGTGTAAAAAGGTTTTAGTTTGCTTTTTTATACACTTTTACAGCTTTCAATGTAGCATGTGAGTAAGCTCCAATAGAGTGGTTCTGACCCAATGAAAAAGCAGACTGACACTGGAGCAGAAATACATGTACGGCAGCAGAAAAGTGGATTATAGTGCAGAACTTGTTTCAGAAATTTCTATAGAATCCAATATAACCACCATCAGTCTAAGCTGATCACAGTCACCATATGCATTTTTAGGATAAACCTACATTTTTCCAGCCACCTTTCAGGTCTACATGGGGTGAGTGTTTCTTACTCAAATGTAGAGTATCACTTTAAGTATATTTAAAGTGCCTTCCTGCTTTTGTGATGATCTCACTTTTTAAAACCACCTTTTCTTCCAAATCTGTATTCCCTTATCTGATTTTGTGCTTTTGATTGTACTTGTTGTGAAAGACAAGAACTCTGTTTAAACTCTTAAAAGCTTTCACACGGTAATAACTACCAAATACAAGTGGTCGAGAAAACACTGTGCAAGACCCGTGCTTAAAATGTGCATTTAGCTGCTACTCAAACTAAAATCTATGCAGCCTGCTTTGTAGCATGTCCCCTTTTACTGAGACTCTAGCACAAATGAATAATGTATTAAGCCCTCATGTCAAAGCAGAATACATAAATTAACACTGCTTCATGTGATTCCCTCATTCTCCCCTCAGTTCCCTGCTCAGCCCATCATGCTGCACTGGCACTTATATAGAATCTAAAATGATTTTCCCTTAAGTAAGGTCAAGACTTTGATCAAGTTAAAACAAATGATATGGCACAACAATAATGATTTTTTTAAAGAAATGCTTGCATTGAAAATAAGAGCATGGAGTAAGAAACCACAGCATGTTCCGTAGTCTAAGATTGTTAAAACTTTGTTCAGTATTCATATTTGTTCGTTCACTGTTCTAGTCCTGAAGGCACTTAATAACAAAAATGAATAAGAAAAACATCAACAACAACACCAACAAATCTTCCTTTCCCTATTACCCTCTTTCAGCCTGTTCTCCATTATAAACTGCTGTGCTCAACACAGGTCCAACCCACCCCAGCACTCAGGCAACATTCCCATGAAAGACGTTAGTAGCCATTTTATTAGCCACTGTGGCCACTGTTTGTGTTGGAGTGACAAACTCCCTCTTCTTCATCCATGCCGAAGACACTTGCCTAATGGAAGGGACATCCTGCCCACACCTGCAATCAGTCCTGGAGAGGCAGTAGCTGGGGGCAGCAGGGGGACAGAAGACTGGGGAAGGGGAGAGGAGGGATCAGAGACGAGCATAAAACTCCTCGTTGAGTTGCGTTAGCTCATTGGCCTCCTCTTCATCCTCCTCCTCTTGAAGTGCGAGAGGAGCAGGCTGAACCTGGGAGGCCACTTGTACAGCACTAGGTTCTGGGCCTAGTTCAGAGCAGGGAGGGGTGTGAATGTCTGTGGCAGGGGACTGCCTGTGGAGGTGTGGAGCGTCCCTATATCCTTCCTCCCTCACCTCTGTGGACTTCACTAGGACAGACTCAGGCCCTGCTCCTGAAGGCCTTACAGCGCTTTGGGGTTGAGGAGGGAGTGTGGAAAAAGAGAGGGAAGGAAGAGTAGAAGAAGAGGAAGAAGGAGGAAGAACTGCTGCTTGGGCAACAGATCCTGAAGTCTTATTGGCCGAGGGTCCGACTCCGATGGCCTGCTCCGTGCGATCTTGACATACACTTTCCCCACTTTTGGGGTACAGAAAGGTCCTCATTTGACCTTTGCCCTTAACATTCACGGTACCTCTATAGTCGAACTCTAAACCCATGGCGTTGAGAACAGCGTGGCTCTCCTCGCTCACCTGCACCCGGCACTCCACACCAGTGGAGTCCATGCGGCTGGCAATGTTGACCGTGTCTCCCCAAATGTCATAGAGAAGCTTAGTAGTGCCGATCACCCCCGCCGTCAGGGGCCCATGGTTGAATCCAATACGGAGCTTGAAACCAAAACCTAACATGTTCTTGTTGAAATCGTCCAGGACACCCATCATCTCCAGAGCAAAGTTGAAGAGTGCCCTCAGGTGAGCGTGCGGGGAGTCATCGTCATTCTCAGCCAGCTGTCGGACATTCAGTCCTGACGCTGCCATGTAGGTGGCACCGATTGTCTTGATTTTTTCTACACTTTTGAATTCATGTTTGCGAAGGAGCTCGTCAAAGTCTCCAATTAGCTCATTAAGGACACGGTAGCACTCTTTCCCACCCTCGTAGCTCTCTTCATAGAATTCACTGAAGTTTACAATACTGGCAAAGATCACACCCACACTGTCATGGTTCTTGGAATAGCTCTGGGTAACCTGACGAAACAAACACAAGACAAAGATGAGCTAATGTTGAGTTACGATGCAGCGATGAAGATTCCCATATTTCTTCTTTTTCATTCAAGAAAAAAATACTAAGACTGTATTTTTTTAAATCCTTGAAAATATTGTGTTCTTGATTACAAAACAAGAAGTCTGTATTAAGCATTGTTCTAATGACCTTCAAAATTATGTTGCGTCTTATATTTTTGTTTAAACAACAAGAAAAACCTTGAGCTGGTCAGCGACATGAATGGGGATGATGTTGCCCAGTAACCACTCAGCCTGGTCTCGCATCGTCTGGATCTTGGAGCGATGTTTGTCAGCCTCCACGTTGCCATGGTAATGGAGACGGTAGCTCACCTCGAACTCACGGTTGAGGAACCAGACCAGAAGAAGAAGCAGAAAGAAGGCCAGGACCGCCTCTGGGACCAAAAGGTCAAGAGGCCGAGGGGGAGGATCAGGGCCCGATTCTGAATCACTATCACCTGATGTGGAGATGTTCGGTCTGAGAGAGAAAACGCGAGAATGAGATGGGGATCAAAGAAATGTGGGAATAAACAAAAAATATGATTAAATGATAACAATAGAAGGAAGGCTAGAAGATACTGATATTTCCATAGCCCAATTTATCGTTACATGATGGGTGCTAAATTTAGATGACATGCCATCATGATGAAAAATTTCTGGTCCAGCTCTAATGAAGTTTGATGGTAAGATTTCTGAAGTCAGTTTCTCAAAATCAAAGTGCAGGCAGAGATACAAGTTTCTCCACTGGCCTAAATAAATCACACTCATTGCTCACAACTTGACTACCTAGCTACATTTGTACGCCTGTATATCCATCATTGAGTGAATGACGTGATGTTTATTCCACTTCTCTGCAGGTATTGTCAAATGAAATTCTGGGAAATGTGGGAAATCAGTAACTGTAGTAGATGAGGGATAAAATTATATTATTCCATCCAGAGAAAAACTCTTGGAATGCAGACCAGTAACTAAGCAACAAGGAGTTCAATATAGTGGATGATACAGGTAAAGCTCTGAGAAATATAGTTTAATTTATCAATGTGTTTTTGATCTGTCAATGTAATTAGCACAGGTGTACATATAAGCACAACGTAAGAACACATGAGGTGTTATTTGTCCTTTAAAAACCCACCTCAGCAACCTCTGGTTGACAAACTAATAAATACTGATAGAGAGCTGAATTTATTCTGACTGGAACTTTGCTAACTGCGTCATAAACTCTCAGCACTAAGGCTGTGGCCTCACTGATCCGTCACTGAATGGAAAAAAGAAATTTGGCTGTCTTAATTTGGTTTTTGAATTTCTTTGACACCACTGAAACAAAAAGATAAATGGGAAGTATAAGCAACTGATTCTATCTAATGACAGATGGTGTTTCCTGAATGCCTTGAGAAGGAACTACCAATCAAAATGCTAACTGATGAAGAAGGAGAGTTTTCACCAGTGTCTTTTTCCTCCTCAGAAGTGCAGTTAGTTAACTTGTGGCTCGAATACAAAATTCAAGCCAGCACAGACTGTATGAGTCATTTTCACCACTAGTGACATTTAGCAGCCATTACTACTGGTGCACAGAGGAAAAGAGAGAGAAGGACTGGGAAATAAAGAGCAGAAAAAGCCAGAGAGAGCTGTAGCTATGAAAAATATTAAAGCGAGACATTGCTAATGTTGACCCTTCAAATGTCACTCGTCCATCAAACCCCTCTGTTTCCACGGAGACACTCACCCATGAACTGGCAAGCTGTTATTACTGGAGCTGAAAGCGACAAGAGTGGTGTCAGTCAGGAGAGAGCACCGGTCACATATATACACAGACACACAAAGGTACACACAATACACACACATGAACGCACGTATGATACAGATCAGATTAAATCCCCTTTGCTGGCTGAGGAACATGTAGATGGCGGTACGTGGTACCAGACCAACGGAGTAAATTACGATGTTCATGAACAATTAATTCATTTATAAATTTATTCATGAATTAATATTTGGAGCCCAAACCTATGGCTATCAAAGACAGAGGTGGATGAGGATTGTATACAGTAAAATCTATTTTGATACTAGAGAATTGTGTAGTACTGAACAGAGAACAGCTCAGACTGGATTATAAGTATTTATAGTACATACCATGGATTCTATAGTCATGTGAGGCTGTGTATGTACTCACAGGAATATATGTGCTCCTGCATGTGTAGCTGTTGACGCTTGGTTGGCATTTGGTATTTGTGTATTTATGTGCAAATGAGTGTTCACCTGTACCTGTGTAAGGGGCTGTACAGCAACAGTAACAGAGCAACCCCTGTAGCAGTGGCCAGGACGGAGCGCATCCAAAAACTCAGCTGACAGAAGTTACAATACTGGATGATGGCCAGGATGGTGGCACAGCACAGGAACATGGTCACCTTGAAGACAAAACGCTGGTTGTTAAAGTGACTTAGCAAAGAAACAAAAGGGAAAAATCAACAGGGTTCTCCACGGCTTCAGTCAATGTTGGCTAATACTGCTTTCTCACCAAAAAAAAAAAAAAAATTATATTAATTAAAAACTATAGATCAAAATAATGGTCCAACTGCAGAGACTGCTGAAAAAAATACTCGATAAGCAACAAAAAGTGTATTTGTGAAATCCACTGTTACAAATCCAGCTGTAAAATCAGCGTGTTCTGTCTAAAACAATTATTGGTTATCTTGGCATGCAAAATAAACATATAAAATTTCTCTTTTCATGCCAGTGCAAGCGATGACTTTTATCCACAGGCACTCCGTAAGGCTGATACCCTAGATTACGTTTACCCTTTTGTACAATACATTTTGTCACTAAATCATATTTCTTTTTAAAAGCTTTAAAAAGACAATTTGTCTATTCAGATAACATCCCCTTTATTCCACTGCAAACTATGTTTTACTCTGCATTTCACTAACTAGTGGTGCAAGCAGCAGTATGTGTAACTTTTAAAGGTTTAAGGCCCAGATTAGGTTTTGGTCCTTTCAATTTAAGTTTAATTTTAGTTAGTTCGGTCAGTGTGTTTAGAGTTTCAGTTTTCATTTTTTTGACCACTTTTTGTTTCACTTTTTGTTTTTGTATCTTTTTTATTGTCAGGCATTGTTCATTAGGATTAAAGATGAATGAAAATGTGAATTTCCTTATGAAGACTGTAAACGTTATTGGTGCTCTCCAAGTCTCTTGCAGTTTCTCAGAGGACTGAATTTTTTCAAACAATATCAAGAGTTAATATTAAGTTATCAAGTTACTGATAACTAAACATTCAGACGTGAGATTAACCAGCTATATTAAACTGAAATGAGAATCAGCATCCCGTTCAGAACAGTCCTGTCAAAATAAAAGTTAACAATCACCCAATAAACTGAAAACACTACACTGTAGATTTATCAATACTGAGCAAAACTTTAATTCAGTTTGACCTACTGTATAAATAGCTCTGTAAAGGGGTTCTCTGACCAAATGGAGTGAAATCACTGAACCTTTATGTTACTGTCAGGGACCTTCATGGACTTGATGTCATAACTTGACTTTAACCATGGCCACTTATAGTTTACTAACATAGAATGAACAGGGTAACATAATACTGGCATCAAACATCATGTTTTAACTTAGTTGTTTTGTTTTTGCTTTTTTGCTAACTCATTTTTATTTCATTATAGATAAAAGTATTGGTTAAAAGTAAGACAAAGATATCTATTTAGTTGGAGATATGGCTTATTAGGGATTAGAATATTATGTTTGCACTGCCAGTTCTATCATACAATTCAATGGGTATCCAAAGTCTAAATGGCAAATGCAATATAAACCAACAGTGAAACCCAGAGCATATTGCATTGCAAAAAATACTCATTCATAAATCAAATGCTGGGAAAGATCCTTCAAGGTCATTAGAGTGTTTGATACGAAACATGCTGATTTGCAATGTGCATGGATTGATTCATGCAAACACACATGGACACAGCAGTAGTAATTTGGGGACATTCACAGGTTGTTAAAGATTACATTGACAGGATAAAATGTTTTCCCTCTCATCCCTACACATGTCCTCCACCCCCCACCCCCCCCAGCACTGTTATTGGGTCTTAATATCTTCAAAGGCATTAAAGTCCAGAAAACTGCATGTCTAATTAACAACTCTCCATGAGACTACTGCTTTGATCTGTAAGCCCCAAAGAGATGGAGAGAGTGGAGGATAGACAGAGCAGGGTGGGAGAGAAATGGATAGAGAAATGGGGTGTTGAAAATCCTTGAAAAACAAGATATCAAAACACCACACATCTTGCAAGCAGCCGTTGGCTCAAAGCTGGAAGGCAAGAGTCAAACTTATACAGAGTTGGATATGGCCTTGACTCAAAACAGCACAAAAACGCTGCAAAGTATGGCTGCTCTCAATCTTCTCACATGCAGGGCTTATAGAAGAAGAAATGTCAACATTTCTGGTGCCAAGGTCCACAGTCAAAACCTCCTGAAGCCTCCTCTGTGTTTTCCTTCTACAGTTCCTATCAGTGCTAATGCCAGCTAACAGCTCTGCTGGTCTCCGAGGATCTCTGGCTTCAGACCACTATGGGCAAGGTTTCAAACCGCCCAACTCCTCTCTGCTTACTTAAGCTTAGAGATATCAGTGAGGGCAAACTATTATAGCTTGGAAATCACAGGTATTACCACTGCTACAATTAGCAGTAGCCCCTGTAACAGCAGAGGTAGAGCAGTTGTACTGAGAGTAGGAGCAGTAGTTCAATCAGTTGCTATACTAGTACAAATAATGACAGTTATGGCAGCTTTAGTAATAGTGCTGGCAGCAGCAATATTGTTAAATCGTAGTAGGAAGCAGGGACATCCAGCATGTTTGTGCAGCAAGTGTAGTAGGGACAGTAACACTTACTTTTTACCTCTGAGATATAAAACATTTGTATAGTGTCCTATACAGATACTTTCCTATAACAAGAATGCTGAATTATATGTTTGTTTATAGACAAACGTTTCAGGTTTTGCATATTCATGCTCTGAATAAAACTCTCATAGTGGTGCTATCTAAGCAGGAGTAACTGGAAGTGTACCAACTGATCTGTCTCTATTTTACCTGTAATTAGTACCAAAGTATATGCTTCTTTCCAGGAAACCTCTTAGGATTATTTGGAAATAAATTGGAATTTACAGACCCATAAAATAAAGTATTACTGAAGCTCCTAGTGTAACCGTGTGCTGCAAATCTCATCATCATCTGTTGAGGCACTAGTTTGAGTTAAGAGTTGGCTGATGCACAGAGATTCCATGATTCCAAAGTTTTACTTAAAATATAAAGTATCACTGTAATTATTGTGTGTCCCATCCTGGACACACAGAATATGTGTGCCCACAATGTTTTCCAATGCACATGTTTACCTGGAGGGGCAGGCGGACGCTGCAGGTGAGGTGGGATAAGACAGAGATGGCAGGGAGGGAAACCAACACAGCCCCAATCACATGACGGGGAATCCATCCAGAGACCACCAGGAGCAGGGAGCGAGTACAGTTCATCACCTCCTCCAAATAGAAGGCCATACTGCAGGAGAGCAGAGGAGAGAGGATGAGTTTCCAACAACACAACTCAAAACCAATATCAGTTAATTCTTTGACTTGTCTAAATGAGGCCGACAATCAGAATGAACAAAAACTTGTGCAACAACTGAACTCAAACAAAAATGATACAGCAAACAGAGTAAAGAAAAACCTATTTTCTGTCATCCTATAACTCTGATCCCACTCTCAGTCCTCTTCCTACTCAGTAAGGGAAAAACTGCAGCAGACTCTCATCAGTCCTTAATTAAGACACACAAAACACAACTATGCTGTCTAATTCCCAGCTAGAAGATGAAGATTTATTGCCCATTTAGGAGTGGCAATAAGTGAAAATTGATTCATTTTTAAATACTCTCCACTGAGACACATTCATACCCACGAAAACGCACCACAAAATAAATAAAGTCCATTAGTGAAAAAAACAAGTAGAAATGGTTTTTGCAGGGTTGGGACTGCACTTGTACCAGTATGTCATTATGCCAATGTCTGAGCCAATACTGGTCTTTCACAAAAAACTGGACATGAGCCAGTTGTATCTGAACAGGGAAGTTAATCCATTGTGGTGTGGGAGCCAACCAACACATAAAATAATTTGTTTTGGTTTCAGTCGGGAGTTGTAGTGCTGCAGGATGGTCTATCAGTGGCTTGCCATAATGTGCCACTGAGGCCCAAGAGATACAGGTTTTTATTCCAACCAAACACTACATCAGCCGATAGGATACAAACACTTGCATATTCTTAGGCCCCGATGGCACAGCACTGACAACAACCTAAATGACAGATGCTTTTCCATCTTGCCAAGAAAAAAATTAATCTGTGGAAATCATTGAATCGACTGTGATAGACTGACAGACCTGTCCAGAGTGTACCCTGCCCTCACCCAATGTCAGCTGGGATTGGCTCCAGGCCCCCCCCCCCCCCCCCCAGGTAATCCTATAAGGAGCGGTAAGGATGGATGGATGGATGGATGGACAGTGAGTCCACAATGATTCCGTTTTACAAAATGGTCAAAGGTTGAGACAGTATTTATGTTATATAAATGTGTTTTTTGGCCTTAAAAACCCATATTGGTTGAAACCTTTCTGATACAAAAGATGTGTGCACACTACCACACACAATAGAACATCCACAAACGAACAAAAGTCCATCTCCATGTCATCTGCCAGAAGCCTCCTCACCGTATGGACAGCACCAGAGAGGCCAGCTCCAACAGACCAGCCAAGGGGGCCAGGGCCAGGGCAGCGGGAGCTGGATGGCCCACGGTGACTGGGCTCACGAGAGGTGGAAGGAAGCAGGCCAGGGTCAAGGCCAGGAAGACGAAACAGCTGAGAAGAACATCCAGGAAGGAGCTGAAGGTGGAGCTCGCAAATGTCTGCACCTGAGCCTGGTTTTTCACCTGAAAGGGGAAGATGGATACGAAAGTAAGGAGACGCAGTGGCTCAAATTTCCCAGAAATCATGCTTACACTGCATACATATTCATATTTTACCAGTATTTACATGGCTGTTTGGAGATGATTGTAGCGTTTAGATGGGAAGAACAAACAACTCCATTTCAAAACCAGCCATCATGATGGGTGTCACACTGAAAAGTCAGACATCATTCTTACAGTATCCCAGATGTTCCTGCCTCTGTTTGATGATGCCATCTTAGATGATGTTCCCTAATTTCTCTGTGTCTGTAATACTCACCAAAGCTCCAGGTCTACCCACCAACTTCATTAATATATAAAGTAAGTTGAAATCAAAGATAGAAAGGAACATTGGTGCCATCAAAAGGTAACTGCTGGGACTTTTTATGTATTTATTTACTTTTTTATTTTTAATCAGAGGCTTCTGTTTCATTCCATTTTATCTTATTTCTATCTATTGCCTTTTTTATTTGCCATTTTACATCCTTTGTAATGTACTAATTTGTCTTGTTGATGAAAGATACTATACAAATAAACTTGCTTTACCTTAGTGTAAATGACTAATGACACATGGGATGAAGGGCAGGTGTAATAAAATTGAATCAATTTGAAAAGAAAACTTAAAGAAACTTTGTTTAAAACCGTTTAAAACTAAATCTGAATTGAAGCCAACCTGTCTACCTGATGAACAACAGCCACTACAAAGATTCTTTTCTCTGTAGTAACAGTGGTTCAACAGCAGGGGGCTGCAAGGCTAACTGGAACTGGTCCTGGGTGTGTGAGAGTGTGGCACTAATGTGGCATAAAATTTGGGATACATATACATATTTGGGATAATCCCTCCCCCTTCACTCACAAACATACACACATAGACAAATATCACTGACCAAAACCCCTCGATGTGTGATTTGTTTGTGGTTTGTTTGTGCTCTGCTTTTCCTATCCATGTACTTAATAAACATCATCACAGGGATTTGAAAATGAGAAAAAGTTTCCAGAGTCTGTTTTGTTCGGGACTGATTAAGGGTTAGCACTGAGGATGGCAGTGATGAGGGTTATAATTACAGTGACAGGTAGAGTGATGAAAATACAAACACAAAGCAAAGTTCTTGTAAGTGTAATAATGTAGAAGTAGGTGTGTGTGTGTGTGTGTGTGTGTGTGTGTGTGTTTGTGTGTGTGTGTGTGTGTGTGTGTGTACCTCCTCCTTGTAGCTGCTGCGATAGGCCTTTTCCAGAGGTCTCTCTAGGAAATTGAGGCTGATCTTGTTGATTGGTGGCTTAAAAAAGTAATCCTTCATCAGACTAGGAACCAGAGAAAAAACAACAAAAAATAAGGTCATATGTGGAAATTAAATAGTACTGAAAAAATACACCTTCACAAACAAAATATACCAAGATTTGCAGTGTATATACCTTTTAATGAATATAAGATATATAATATAAGATGAAGTATTTGAGTAGATTGTAATATTTTACAGACTGTACCCTTTTGGATTCTGTTATTAAGAGCATCCTGAGCCCTTCCTGTATTCCAGTGTGTGTTTCCTGCCATGCTTCAAAGACATGTAGGTTGTAAGAGGGAATGTAGCTGTTTAATAATGTGTATTATCCCTGTGAGAGACTGGCAACCCATCACCCAGTGCATGCTGGGATAAGCTTCATCCCTGCAATCCTGAACATAATAGGTGGTTTAGAAAAATGGTTCAGTGGATAGATACACATCCTTAATAGAAAGGTTTATATTATTGAGATTACTGATGCTTACCAAATGGATCCCTTCACCTCTTCTCTATCGCCCTAATCTTACATTACCCATCACTCTTGAGTGACAATATCTGTCATATATTCTACCTTTAACATCTTTGCTCACCTGTCCTCCCTGATAACATCCACAAAATGGGCGTCACTCTTTTCTCTGAAGTTCTTGGCACGCAGCTGGATCAGGGCGGAATGGTCCATACCAGGACCCGCTGTCCCTGTGCCACCAGTCATGCCTAGACTGGTGCCAGTCCCTGTGCTAGTGCTAGTCTTCTTCTCTTTCTCCTGGAGCATGTCACACAGGGAGCTCTGGCTTGCCCGCACTGGGTCTTCCATTGGGGGACTCAGGAGGCCGTTGGCTGCCCTGGGGCTGTGACCTGGGATGAACTGGAGGAGGAGAAAGGGTAAAAAATGAAGAGGGTGAGAGCAACAAGATTCAGAAGATGGAGGGGAAGACAGGGAAGAAGAGCAAAGGGAAAGGAAAGAAAAGGGAACTGACAGCATGATTGATTTTTAAGTAGCTTAAATGACAAACGTATGTCTGTTGTACCTTTGCACTGCTAGTTTTGTGCTCTTCCTGGCAGCCATTCAACACAGCCACATCATCACCCTGCTCTGCTCCTGCAGACAACACCACACCACGGGACACACAGGGAGGCTAGAGAGAGAAAAGGACAGCGGGGGGAGTGGTTGACAAATAAAAACAGATGATACAGAAGGAGCATGAAATATAACATAATCACTTTATATATGACTGACAGTTAGGTCAGACTTGGTCAAAGGGTGTAGTCTCTGACATCTTTACCTCTCCCATAAATGAACTCACTCAGAAATGAATATGAGCAAATATGAGACAAAATAACTGGGTGCATGAGCCACATTTGGGAGTAATGAAAAAGGTCAGACACCACCTGATATTTGAAAAACACTTTCACAATGTCAGAGCTTAGCATCCTTTCATCTACAACTAGATGAATGAAGAGGAATCAGAACAGCTGCAACAATTTTCTTCATGTTGTATAATTTTCCAGTGCACAGTCATCATAAGACGCACAATGTAAATGTTAGTTTGAGTTCCTTACGTGTGTTGTTCGTCACACAGAGAGTAGGAGCTATGAAAACAATTGTCATCAGTTTTTTTTTTTTTTTTATTTAAACTTCATTTACCCCAATCCTGTCTGATGGTTGATGGGGCAGCAGGGGCTCTGCAGCCTGCGCTCCTCCGGGAATGAGGTCTGGTGTGTGGGGTTGAGGACAGGAAGACAGGCCGACTCCCACAAAATCCCCACCTGGCAGTCCCACCTGAGAACAGCCACACTGCACATCATGCTCCACCTTCTTCCCTGAGATCAGGTAGGTCCTCAGCCCTAAGGGGAGCAAAAAACAAAATAAACCCTCTGTTTAGAACTTCATAATCATAACCTTCATAATTTTCTTGGTTTGACTTAAAAGTGACAGGAAAAAGTGCAGCACACAATAGAGACATCAGGGGCACAGGAGAGGTCACACTTCAGTACTCCAGTACATTGTTATCATCTACAGATATTAAAATAATGGCAATTAATAAGATGTTCCTAAAATTCTTGATGGTAACCATCAAGTTGAAAGCAATCCTGAGATGGCTCAGAAGGCTTAACCACCACAAAGTAATGCAATTTGTTTATGCCAAACATTCACTGGGCAACAAATCCTCTAATATGAAGATTGCTGCATGTTACAACTGTATACTCTGATCTACTGAAACAATAAGTCAGTCTACAGGACATTTAGTGAGTTATACTTGTGATAATACATTGTTTAAGTCAATTATTAAATAAAAATACCAAACGTTTAGCAATGTTTAACAAATTAGCTTGTGTTTCTTTGTTTTATATCATTATAAAATAAACACTGTCTTTTGGATGCTGATCAGACTAAATCTGACTTGAAATGTCCAAATAAAATTATGGGCTATTGTGACTTTTGAGTGATTGGCAAAAAAATTGGGAAAATAGTGGGTAGGTGCAGACATACCCTCATAAGCCAATCATTAGCCACCCTTGTTCATACACACACACAATGACAATCAGGTGGTAATGCAACACTGGGTGTTTCACCAACAATGTTTGCAAATCAGTCCAGAGCTCGGGCCATGTTCACACTTTTGTAGGGCCAACAAGGAAATACACAAACAGTGGATTAGAGTGGTGGCCCATATCCAGCTGCTATCAGCCTGACCAAACACACAGTAACCTGGCTAGCTGGCCTCTTCATTCAAACAGCTAAAGATGTTAACCTTGTCAGCATGGTGATAAAGAGTCTTTACGGGCTCCCTGACTCAATCTGACTGCTCATCTTACATTTTATTATTATGTACACTATTTACTCAGAAAAGGAACCCTTCATTTGGTAACCCTGCTCCATGGGCACGAGTTGTCCTAACAGCACAGACTGAAGCCAGTTTTCAACAGCGTTTCTGTGTTTTTGCAAAAAACCTACAGACACTCATTCCTGCATCAGTGAATTTTTAAATGTGCGAGATAAAAGGCTTCCAGGAGATAAATAGTGTATCAGTGCATGCCTAGTTCAGCTTTGTCTACAATTTTCTGAAGAATTTTGGCATGCTCTGACTGCATTATCACTGCAGATGTTGTTTAAGTATAAAATAAAAAAATATGATGTTTCTGCTTTGTCTTAATTGTTTTGCAGTCCAAACTTTTGTATCGTCTCAATATATCATGTGTTACTCATAGTATAGAAGAAATTTGCAAGTGAAGACCTAACTGTGGAAAAATCATCTTCCATTTTATGAAATGTTTTACTTTTACTATAATTTGGGAATGATCTGGAGTGAATGAGCCCAAGGGGATGGGTCAAACTGATTTGTTATCTGAAATTATCCTTTAAAGAAGGTTATCCTGTCCCTTTCTGGCACAAAAGCATTTAACCTTTGAACTCTGTTCTCTTTGATGCATGATGACGGTTTTTTATTAAACAGAAAAAGGAAATATATGTGATGATGTGTCAGCCTGTGTAAGTGTGACTGATGAGCTCCCACCCATATGTCCAAGCATGTGCGTCAGTCTGATGCTGAGTAGGTGTGTTCATGTCGGTCTATGTACTATAGTATACTTTAGTGAATTAAACACACACAGACACGCACACACACATACTCCCCCTCATGTCTGTCTCTCCTTTCACTGTATGGATCTACAGTTTTAATCATCCTTCCATCTCTTTAAATCCTCCTCCTCTGTACAGGTTACTCCATTTCTTCCACTTTTTAGTGAGTCAGCGTAACAGAAATCTAATATGCAAAGAGACTAACTACTTCAATAATATCCTGGATTCATACAGGAGATTTTGAAGAGCAGTAGCTGTAGAACTACTAGTACTACTACCACCTCTAGGTCTGAATACCAGTAAATGCCGTACAGTCTAAACAAAACCATTGAACCCTTGTGATTTCAAGATTTAATAAAGTTGAATAAGTTTTTGTCTTAAAAAGTTGCAAATTTCTCACATTATTGGCAGAACTAAAGTCAATTTCTATGATTTGATGCATGGTTGTTTCACTGATGCAGGGCTAATGTGCTGTCAGCTGCATGCGTACAACAATATGCTAGAGGTTAAGTTGGCCACTATGGAACCAGTGAGCATGATTGAGTTTCACCATAGCTTTTTGTCCTGCTTCCTTGTTTGCATAAATAAAATTAGTTATGAATACGTAACTAACAATGAACTTATCTTGGGAGTTTGGAGGCACTGTATGTTTTGTTCTGGGCCCTGGGACAATGTAGACTTGGCAGATGTCCTAAGCCTTTAGGGCAGCAACAGTCCTAACTTTGGGGTTGAGTCCATTGCCAAACAAGTGACAAAGGCCATTTATGAGATCTCGAGCCACAGCCACACACACATACACATATATACACACAAATATACACACACACACAAACACGCACGTACATACACTGTCACGCAAAGGTTCACTGCTATTCTCTGCTGTCCATTAGCTCTTAGGCAAGAGCCGAGTACTCTATCAGATTTTAATGGATGTTAACAGGGGCCTTCTGTACAACAAGTGAAGCATATGGCTGTGAATTGCCTAATGATGGCTCCATGCCTCTCTCCATTTTGTTCTTGATTTGTTCTTCAACCGCTCACTGACTGTCACACAGAAATATACACAGAGCAGGGCCCTGTCAGAGAGGGACGGTCAGTTAGAACAAGTGAATGGGATGTGGGGGTGGGGGTGGGGGGTGTTTGGGGGTCATGTAATAGTGGACTTTGTACAGGGAGAAAAGAGGACAGGTAAAAAATAAAATGCTGCTCATCATTCTTTCCCATGAAAATCCTGAACCCAGTCACAGTCAGAAACTATCTGCTATCTGCTAGTATACACATTGTAAGGATGATAATTTACACAAAAACCCTAATCTCCTAAATCTCCTTACAAAGAATTTCTGAACCAGATGTTTGTTGGCTGGATTGTATACAGATGGATGACAAAAAAAAAAGAAGAGAAAGAAGAAACAAAAAAAAAACAATAAATTGTTGGGAAAACATTAAGGAATGCAGGGCACGAGAGGTCACTGAATGGTTTAATGAGTGTGAGAATGATGGGAATTAAATTCTGTGCCCTTCACAGTCACCAGATCTTAACCTATTATCTTTTGGAAGAATGGTGTTTAATTCAGAGTTTAATAGACTATGGTAAGAATCTGCACCAAGGAGTGTTGAAGCTAGGACCCAAAGCTATGGCTGAACAGTTCTTGCTTTCCCATCCCAAGTTTAAAATGGTTACTATTAGAACAATCAATAGAAAATGTGGTCATCTTATCATGTGGGACAGCTAAGTATCACTCAAGCAGTCATCTTCACGTCTGAACACTGAAGCCAATGCAGTATTAGCTTAAGATGCAATTTCTCTCATCTTTTCTAGATGTTGGCTCCAAGAAAACTCCAACTTTACTGAATTGGCTGGGAAACCCCTAAATTATCTTAAACTACAAGGTCAGTAAATTATTATTTTTATTACATAAGTAATTAAAAAAAAAAAAAACTTATTTTGCTTCATGTAATGTTTGTCTTGGAGGATAGGTCTTGGTCTTAAGTGTCTCTGTTCAATTTAAGTGTCTCAACTAGTCATAACAGTGTAACAGTGAACGAGCATGAACAATACCAGGACCCTTAAACTGAAGGAGCTAAATGCAATTCAGCCATCATTCATTTTATTATTTACACCAGTGCTTTTCCGACTGTGACATGTCATAATGTCTGATGTGAGAGATATCTATTAGGCAGATATCAAAACTTACACAAAAGTAAAATCTTCCACAAAAGCAAAGGCACAAAATCCATCAAGCACAGCCCACAGACAGATCAGTGATCAGCACAGCCATCACCTTCTAATGACAATGACTGATTCAAGAAACTCACTTACTTCTATAAAAGTTCAGTGTAAATATACCATGTGTATATAGACTTACTTCCAGTTTGCAGTTGGCTGGGGTTGGCTGCTGAAGTGACAGAAGAAACTGAAATGATTTAATGTCTTGAATTTTGAAAATGTCATTCAATGTAAATTTCTGTTACTTTCTTGTCAGTAAAAGCCAGAAAATATTCTAGCTAGAGATGGAGAGGTGGGCAGCGATTGGCGCTTTTTTTTTTGTGATCTTCAGACTTACTCTAGCATGTGTCCAGCATGAGAGGCAAAATGCTAATGAGTAAGAGACAGTGATAAAGGAGATAGCGAAAGCAAAGTGGCAAACAGTGGAGAGACGGCGAGGGGGAGGAAGAGACCGAGAGTACTTTGAAGGTCACTGAGTTTAGCATGCCTCACATAACCCACATTCCTTGTCTACTTCCATTTCATCTTTCTAACTTTATCAACAGCCCACTCTAAACTGTAAAACAGGCCTTGAATTGTGAGGGCGTTGAAAGGCTTGACCAAAAGACTGTGAAAAATAGTAGTTTTCCAACTGTCGAGTGCACAGTAGGTTAATGTGTGTATGCTTGAGTGCAAAGGTATCAACAACCTTTGTGTCAACTACCTACTAGATAAAGTGCCACATGTAGCTTCTGTGTGTTTAAACAAGCTATAAGGCATAACAGAGCTAATCCTTTACAACCGAGTCTTTGCAGCCAGTCATTGTAACACACTGCAGTGCTTTCTACTGTGTGTGTGTGTGTGTGTGTGTGTGTGTGTGTGTGTGTGTGTGTGTATTGATCTTCTCCAGGCTCTGTAAAGGCAGCACTCTGGGAAAGAAACTGACACCAGCACTCTAAGGTCTCAATGCAGCTCAATGGTTTTTATTGATTTAGACCAGCTGGCTGGAGCAGAAAGGGTTCATCTGAGGACAGCTACTACTACTACTACTACAACACA